CTTATCTTACCTCATTCCTACTCTCCGCAGATCTTTTACATGACACACTTTGGATCAGCAACCCTTCCGACTCACCCAAAACTGTACAATTTGCTTACCTGTCAGGCCAGCTCATTCTTGACTCCCATGAGCCTGTGCCCAAAGCAGATACCTAGGTACATCAGGAGAAAACCTTCAGGTTTGTTTTTTCAAGAATCTCTTCAAGACCAACCTGTCGAGACTGCACATGTAAATCCTACAATGCATACTTTATCTGCTTATACAACATAACTCTCACCTTTGCAGTGCTACTTCACCCCCACTCACTATAGAAGTTGTGGATCTAAAACACCTTGTAATGGATATACTGTACAGTACATTTGCTATGAAGGCATGATAAATTCTAATCCTTATTCTTTTTGTCTATAATTACCCACCTTGCTTTGTAAAGTAGTGCCGTATCTTACTGCATTTTACTGAATTATCATTTATTCAACCTAAAATATGCAACATTTTTACAACAGAAATTTGTACAATTCAGTAATTATTTTGAATGTGCAGTACTGAATATTGGTTTGATTAAAGCCATCGAAGTAATTACAGCCATCTTGTATCAGGCCCTTTAAACTCTGTATCAAGGACAGAGTCCTGTTATATAAAAAATGTGATCTCATTTCATACTTTCACGCTCAAGAATGACTACATTGTTATTTTTCATGATTGATGTAAATCTTAAAAAATAGAAAATAACTTATGGCAACAGCATGCCATGAAAATTGCTTTCAAGAGAACTGCACTTTTTTGACAAGAAGAATCAGAAAAAATGGATAACATACACTATATTTTAGCACCTAAAGAAAAAACAAGCCTCTTCAACATTAGTGTAAAATTTAATGATCAGAGATGAAAGGCTCTAGCCACCTAAAAAGGCTAATAAATTTACTGTAATATTAATCTTTATTAAAAGCCGATTTGTACATATTTGAGTATGTTAATCCTGCTTTGAAAATGCACCGGCAATTCACTGATGACTGGAAAAGCCCTTAAGCCCTTCAAGGCAAAATGTTTGACTGCTCAACACCTCTTTCTCCAGACATGAAAAACAGCAGAAGAGATCAAGGACAATCATGCTGCTTTATAAATTGAGAGGTTAATGCAATTCTGAAGTCATCACTGTCGATGTGGGTTAAAGGGAAATCTCTTCCACAAGACCGATGAGGGGTGTTCATTAAGACAAATGGGAAAATCTCTAGAATCTGAAGAAGTTATACAGTACGTTACATTACTGAATTTTCTCTAAGAAGACAAGTGTAAAACATCACAAAAATAAGTTTTTGCAGCTTGCAAATGGTAAATACACATTTTGTAGTTCACAAATGTCAGATTTCGATAAAAAATAAATGACCATGAAACATCTTCATCAAGGCATATTGCTATATATATAAATCCTCTCTACAAACAGTAAATACAGCCTTTATTTATTGGTAAGAATATCTAAATGTGTTAACACCATTTGAAACTTTTGTATATTAAGTTTGAGTTTATTAAAAACTAGGAGTATGTTTCCAGAGGGTAACACAGAAACCTTGAGATGTTCTGCTCATCTTCCTCTCAAAATAGTGACATTTACATATACAGTATAATGTACATATATTTTAAGAATTTAAAATAGTAAAACAAGTCTGCTAAGACAAAGCTCTCAGTATCATTTTAGATTTTAAGCATAAAAATGTGATCAAAGTATTTTCATTAATTTAAGTAGATATAACATTAGAGTGAGTAATTTCACCCTAAAACTAATACTGTATTAACACCACATCCATCCCTACATTTCATCACACTTTCGTGAACAGATTTACCTGGACACATGGTTATAGTTCAATACCACAGCACGTGTGTTTCAGAGGACTCCAGCCTCAGATCCACTGATTTAATTCAAAGAGAAGTTGGGTTTCATCCTGCCACTCCCTTCTATCTACTGTACAATGCTACAGGCAAAAGTAGGTCTTAATGACCCACTTACTTTATTTTAATGAAATTGTGCAGAGAGAACGGGGACTACAAATCACCATTTAACAACTCTAATCATTGTTTTGGAGTATTGAACAAGTACAAAGAGTTTCAGAGCATTATATTATAATATTAAAAGAACCAAACTATACAAGTTAGACAACAGTTAATGGAATATTAACTGATGTTTAAGAGTCCTTTACTAAATGTTGCTACACATCTAGAAAAAGCATATTCGAATTTTTGGACCCTTAAAATCTGTGAAACAAACATATCTGAAATATGTTTTTAAACATAAAGAGGAAAGTGTCAATCAAAATATAAACGTCTACAGGATCTAAGAGGGTAGGGAATATATTCATGAAATAAGTTAATTGGTTAATTACTTAATGAATTAAATACAACAGGGTTACGTCACTTGTATCTCATACTATAATATAATAGAGAGAAAATGCTTTTCCTCGTATTTTGCGTACATGGTACAGAACCATGTTGATTGACCAATAGATTGGCTGATCAATCTACTGTATGACCAAAAAGTATTTACAATAGTATTCTGTATATTAGTTTCCAATTGAATAACATAAATAACATGTCACATATGTAATATATGTACATATTTTGTTTTACAAGCCAAATTCCAACAAAGTATTCAATTTATGTAGAATGTATAAATAAAATTATATAATATATTGAATTTATTGACATACCATGTTGATAGCTCAAATAACCCATATTTTATTTATTATTGTGTTAATACTACTGCAGACACTTATTCTATACTTTATTTATTTTCCATTTTCTATAAAGTACACTTAGCATACTGAGCTACTGGGTTACATAATGACCCTCTAACTCCTACTTCCTGTGTGCCTATATTAAACTTGCTTTTGTTTTACAAGAAAAAAGTACACAATCTTTCCCTACTCATGATAGCTATCTGCTATAAAGCTTATAAGGTATTTTTCTTACAAGGCCACCAAAATGAAAGATATCAATTTTAAAATCAACCACTTTGTCCAATCAGCTGGGAAACAGATGTCTGAAATAAAGAGAAGAGTCACTAGGGTCATACGCTATAGTGATATGGAGACCTCAACCATAATTCCAAAGAGGATTCTACCTTTTTGCCACAACTAATGTGTGCTCCCTGCATGTAATGGATACAAACACAGAGCATAAAAGCAAAATAACAGAAAACCTCTAGACCATCCAAACAAGTATGGAAAATGTACCTAAGTAGCAAAATGTAAAAATTAATGGAATAGGTGACAGCAGAAATTAGTGATATTAATACTTATTTATTTGGTTGATATTTTTGTCCAAAGGGAATTACAGAATTTAGACGTACCATTACCTAATTGCTGCATCTACAGTCAGTTCAGGTTTCCATTTATACATTTGGTCAATTATCTTGCTTAAGGAACAGGACTGTCCGCACCTGAAAGTGGAATTTGTGGCTTTTCGAGAGAAAAGATCCGTAACCACAGTTTTGAGCTACCACAGCATTACAACTGGGAAGTCATTAACATGACAATAGTTAGGACAAGCTGCAAGAACAGGTCATTGTTGACAAGAAACCTGGAATGACCTAGAGAAGTGAGATTCTGAGGGAAGAAGTGAGATTAAATCAAGACATTTGCTATAACAAGTTGGGTTAGAACATCTGGCGTCTGACAGCCTGACAAAAAACTCTTCATCAGCAGAGGATTGAGGATGTGTATGGTACAGGCCCATGGTCTGTTGCTTTTGCTCCTTATACTGTATGTACTGTAGGCTGGTGAGCCCTAAGCTGAGTTAAACAGCTGTCCATGGCTATATACAGAAGAAAATAGTCTGTTTAGAAGGTTCAGCTTTCTGATGTAAAAATGTCAGAGCTAATTAATATTCACATTACTGTAATTGAGAGACTGTTCCCAAAAAGACACTAAAGTTCTGAAAGATGTTCCTTGTAAGATGTTATATATGTACAACCTTTATATTCAATACAGAATATTACAGTATGTCAGTTACAACAACTTGCAAGTGAAAACAAATCATTGCAATACATTTCTGTAAACTAATAAAAATGTTAAAACTCAGTAAAACTTTATTGGAATAATGCTTCACACGCCTATAATTTTTTCTAGCATCTTCTGCCTTGCTAATTAAATAACAAAAGCTCTATAACTGATCTTTGAAACCTGTGAGCACTAAGCCCTAAGAATATTTAACTGCACATAAATTTTGCACTAGGATAGGATCATACCCTATCACAGCGATGTTTTTTTCTGGTAGAGGGTGATCAATTTCAAGTCACATAATTGAATTAGCTTACAATGGCAAACTGATATATAATAGTTATAGAACTAACATAAATAATGAAGTTTACAAAGTGGCAACAATAGGTCTGTGAAGACATTTGTATTAATGACTAAAGACGTGATGATAACGAAGAAAAGCTACAATGTGTCCATTGGAGCCTTTCCTGGAACTCTAACAAAGATGTTATATTACATTTTTTCCCGTATTTTTTGTGTGCCATTAAAAGTGTCTCATTTAAAAAGATCGGAAACGAGTTTCTAACAGACCACACGTCTTTTGACAGGTCAGTTGTTTTTGAGCCTCATCTTCAAAATCTGACTGAGCAGCACCGTCATGAAAAATAACAATTGACTTCAGCGCAAGCAGTCCAGAGGGACAGGTCAGAGAGTTACTGTACATTGATACAAACCTTCGACTCAAGGTCTTTTCACAGAACATGCAAAAATATTCCTGCGCTTCAATACACTGGCTATGGCCTATTATTTCTCCCTGCGCTATAAACGACTGACGAGTGAGAATTTGTTAAGTGAGAAAGCGTGGATGATCTAGACTTCAAACAGTGTATCCCCACAAACGCCTTATTATTTCAGACAATGAAATCCCACCCTTATTTCTATTGCCAGACACCACAAATTCCAGAAACAAATGCACTTTGTCTCTTCGGCTTGTAAGCAAACTTTTTCTTGACGATTCTTAAGAGCACTTACATTCCTTATTGCACTGGATTCTGAGACATCAAACGAACTACAAGAGACAAAAATAAAATAACAGAAGGGAATTGTGGACAGTTACATAAAATAAAATTATATTTGCAATTAATGTTTTTATTCCCACGTTTTAATAATAAAGTCTGTAAGAGGAGCGTTTTTTCTCTATTTTACACGTAATACAATGAAATTTAATGTAGAAACAATGCACCTTTTTGATTTCAAACGGTGGAATGTGTAAGTATAGAACATACTGTGATTGCAATACAATAAATGTGAAATAGTAGTATTTTTCTTTTTGCTAGTATATATGGCATTGTATATATCAGAAATGGAGTTACAAAAATAAACGCGAAAGATATTTATGTTGTCAGAATGATTGTTATACTGTCCACAGTCAGTGACAGCGCTTGTATAACGGAATCTATTATTGGCCATTTTTTTTGTATCATCACTCCACTGTATCATACAATTTTTCTTACACCGCTGCAGGAGGAAAAGACCAAAGATTGACCCCCCACAACCCCCAGCAGTATACTGTGCACACCGTACACTGTTGAGGGCGTAATGCATTAAAAATCTTTGCTATTGAAGATGAACACGCAAACTAATACTCGTTAAGATTCTAGGTGATACTGCGATGAACGATTTTAACTAGCTATTTTTCTAACTTTACCCTGATTTAAAAAGAGACCGATTAATAAATACCCTTTACACCGACTAGCTAAACGTAGCTAAACCCACACACCTGCTGTGTGATTCTGCTCGTGGTCAAGTATTGCTCCGGTGTAACGCCTGTTTCTATTTCTGTATATTTCTATGTATACAGTACCTTAATTGAGTTACGCTACACACTGATAGCTTTGCACACCGAAATCGCAGAATGACTGAAAAACGGACTAACAATTAACATAACACAATAATGCAGGAGCTAATTCTGAAACTGAAAATGAAAAAATCTTAAACTGGGTTGGACATTACTGAGAAAACAATGTAAAAAATCGATGCATGTGACGAAGCGTGTTTAATCTCAGACATCTAAATGCAAATGGTAAATGATCTAGTACATCTACTTTGAAAGATGTATGTCTATTTTCATATTATTACAACGTGTCTTAGCCAGCTACACTTCTACTTATTTTTCTCCGTCCGTTTTTTTTTTTACAATGGCATCAGTCGACTTCATTAACCTTTGCAGCAATCAATATTCACCACCCCACCCTTCGGGCAGGTTAGCCTCTCTGCATCAACATCAACATCACCTACCATTCCGTGCCAGCTGACGACGATCCTGGTCCAGTTGACACAGTCCTTTTCAATACATTCCGCCGGGCGAGGTGCAAGCAAAGGGACGCAGTTATCTCTGCCAAGGATTTATTTTTGTAAGGAAAGAAAGGATAGCCTCCGAACAACAACAACAACAACAAAAAAATAAATAAATTAAAAGGGGGGGGAATCAGAGATTTCCTTGCTGAATCACACTCCCCTTCACCGTCTTGCAACCATTGTGCTGCAAGATGCTGGCTGTACCATTGTGGAACCTACCAGAGGAAGATGGAAAGAGGGGTTAGGGAAATGGGTTGCTATAGAAACCTAAAGGAGCACACATGACGTCAAAGGGCCAAGTAGTCTCTGGAGGAGGGGGGAGCTGGGCTGATTCTGCACCGTCCTCCTCTCGCTAGCTCTAGTTCCTTGCTATGACAGGCTGACGCTAACACTGAACCCACCTCTCTTCCCACCCTGTTCAGCGTTTTCAGCACCGCAGGCTGACACCACAGAATGGAAAAGTAGCGGGTAATAAATAATGGAGGGATATCACTCTGTGCTTTTCCGGGAGGTGCAGTAAACTGTAGCCTGTTACACTTTGCATACTAGCTGCATAATCCTTCTCAGTCGTCAGTCATTCGCAGCTGAGAAAAAAACGCAGCAGTAGGGTAGAAACCTACTGGGAGCGACCTTTCCAGCTATTTAAAAAAGATATTGAGGAAATTAGGATTTCCTGTTTCTCTTAAATTCTTAATGCTAAAAGTGACGTTAGCCTTTTTAGGTGTAAGATTGTTTTGCTCATGACTGCGCAGATGCCCTTACGCATCATGTTTGCTACACATACACAGATTATCCAATACACTACTGAAACGGACTCTTAAAAAAGTAAACTACTAAGTTGTTTTTTATTTTATTTTTTAAACATGAATTGTCGTTGCCCACAGTGTATTAAACTTCATACTACTGTGCAAAAATGTGATATTGGAATTAGGATGTTTCCATGGCACTGAATTGTACAAACTGTACCCAACAAATTTTAATCTCTCTCTGTTGACTTTTAGCAAAACAGAAGTTAATGCGTTAACAAGCAAATGTGAACCAATTCATAAAAAAATACGAAGTTGAGTAGGTATATCAATAAGCTGGTAGTCATTCCAGTTTTTCTTCTATCATACGTGACACCTTTTATATATATTTTTTTCGTGCCAAAATACAAATAGGGCTGATGAGCTGACATTCAGTATTTAAACTGAATCTTGATTTTGGTATTCTGGGACACATTTGCAGTATTTGTTATAATTGCAAATCACCTTTCCAGCTGAAGCACTCATTTGTCTTCACAGCATTGGTTTCTTGAAAGTAGCAGTCTTCACCAATGAGGGAAGTGCTACATCACTCTCCTTTGATAAGCTAGTGTGTGTCAAATCAGGCCAATGGGACACTGTCACATCACTCTTGTCTTGAAGCTGGCAGTGATGTGGTTTTACCTGTAAAGAAACAAGTAAATGTTTATTCCATGCTGAAAAGAGAAGAAAAGAAACAGATTGTTTCAGCTGTGGAGCCTTCTTCAGGTGTTTTGAAGTGTGCGTGGTTCTACCTGTGTCAGTTGTACCTGCATCAGAGGCTAGCGGAGAGCGACACAGAAACTGATGACTGTATCCTTTCACAGGGAGCTGGAGCTGTGAAGATAGCCCAGGGTTCCATATGGAAGACGAATTGCAGGTGCTGTGAATGATGGGATAGGCGTACCCAAGATACCACAAACAGATGGATGATGAAAAGGTCAAACAGGAGTCAGAGGGTTCCAAAACAGTCTCTAGAACTCGAGTGTTGACTAACAGGAGTGGACTATCCTGAAATTTCCTTTTCATATAATAAAACTTGGTAAATATATAGAGAGAAGCCTGGAGCTGAAATGCAGTTTCCATCTAGGAAAATAGAAGGCCAGAAAATAAGCCTTACAAACTACAGAACATGCCCTGATGGGAGCAGCCATCCAAGGAAGACACCATGCTCCCCAAGCTCATTGTCCATTTCATAGACCGTTGCATGTAAGTCCCAGCCTTACAAGGAGGAGTCTGATCTCCCAATTTGGAGACAGAGGGAATTGCCCAAGGGAACAAAGTTTGTCAAGAAGGTGTATGGTTAGAAAACCTTAAGGAAAAGAAAAATGCATGCAAACAAAATAGAAGCATAACAAAAGGACTCATTAGAATAGAACAAATAAGTAACGTGAATTAAGACTTGGGGAAGAACTCCCACTACTGACTGAGAAGATGCCAGTCATTTAAATAATTGAGGAAAAGTGCACCCTGCACCTAGACTTCAGAAAAAAAAAATGAAAGATCCATGCCTTCAGTGCAAATCTGAGAAAGCACCTTTGCTTTTCCAGAATTGCAATGTGACAACTGAAAATAATCATCCTTCATATTAATAGACACAAACCAATTGCTGGGCTGGAACAAGCTGAAGGACATGACAAGTGGTCAGCATTCAACACATGAGAAACTACAAAACGAAAATTAGAGACTGTAGATCCAGAATGAACTATAGAGAGTAAATTCTGTATGAAGTTTGTTGTTTTTTCTGTTCTTCTGAATAATTCTTCATTTTTCTTTAATTCCATTTAAACATACATGGATGGAAATTCATTATGGATTAGGGTTACCCAGGAACATTCTTCAGTTTCCAGGAGAAAAAGAGAATTAAGGACCTTGCATGTTGTCATGACAATGTCAGTCACTAGTCACGAGATTATCGTTCAACATGTTTGGTACTTGATGGATGTCAGTCTTCATAAATGTTTACCTTGACCCAGCAGTTTGTTGGAATACAACCTGACTTTGAGACAGTCTCTGACAGAGTAAGAAGAGTAAGAAAGTTCAGTGCCAAGACCCTTTTTTGTATGTGAGAACATGCTTTCACTGTTTAAACACATAGGTCATTTTAAAGGGTTTGACTGTTTTCATTAGACAACTCTGCTACAAAACAGCTTCCCCTATACCAAATCACTGTATTTTACTGTTATTCCTTTGCAATTAACTTGAACTTAATTAGCAAATGTGAAATGCCTCAAAAAGATTTTAAAATGCTGTTGAAAAAAATAGTAAAAAACTTAAGCAGAAGTTGTGCTCATTCTCTTTGTGCTATTGCTGACAACAGTAACAGAGCTTTCCTTGAGTTATAGCCCTCAAATGTTCTGTGAGGAAATGCACCTCCCTTCCTGGCCCATTTGTGGTTTATGTGGCATGAATTGAGTTATCCCTTTATCTATGTACTAAACCTGACTATGGATACACTTTTTCCATAGAGGAAGAGTTTAATTGTTTATTCATTTTTACATAGTGTCAACAATGATGTGTTTGTAGTTAATTCATCATCTGCTATGTGTGGCTAATGAACGGTTACACATTATGAACATCTGCTGTTCACTTAACACTAACAATTAACCCATCCATTGCCATTCAGCCAGACTTTCTATACTGCTAACTTACTGAAGGCCCACAACTTTGACTTAATTGCCCAAGAGTTTCATGTTCCTTTCCAAGCAAATAAATTATGTTTTTTTCTTAATTTTAAAGAGCATGTGGGTGAAAGATTTGACTTTAAATTGCACTCTGAAAATGAGAAGTTGTTTAAATTTTGAGTACCGAAAGACTAAGGTTACTTGAAGCAATATCTACTCACTCATCTTGTCCTGCCAGCAGACCACCCCCATCCGCAATGAATGTTCTGTCCAGTGGGGAAAGACCATTCTCATTGTGATCATTTAGTTCAAGAACTATTTTCCAATATATGTCTTCAATGAAAACTGCTCCAAAGTGGCTGGCCTCCATGACTTGCTCGGATACATTTTCAGTGTCACATGGAGAATATGCCTAGGACCAAAATGTTATGTTTAGAAAAACAGAATGTCCCCTGCTTTTGCCATGAACTTCAGGTTATTGAATCCAGCTCTCTAACCATACAAAAATAGATTGCAATTCAGGAAACCTTCCAAAAATCCGTTGAAGAAGACAGGGCTTTTTCTGTTATTGCTGTACAACTTGGCAGTTGACTTGCTTAGGAGATCTGACAGTATTTAATCGCTTCTGACAGAACTGCAATTTATGTCATTAAATTTCGTTGACGTATTTCACTAACGTTGATTCATTGGCAATAATCATTATCACTGTGGTTTACAAAAAAATCTAGTCATAAGTAATTTTATCATGTTCCTTATTGTGATGTAAATATTCTGATTCTGTCAGGTTGTTGTTTCCTGATTTATTGTTTCCATGGAGAGAACTGACAGTGTTTTTTTTGCAATATTTGTCATTAAACTATTAAATAATCTTGGCATTCACCATTTACTGTATTTCATGTACTGTTAATGCGAGTTTATTGATTTTGCCTCCATAGTGTATCTTGTTTTTACCCCACTTTGTATTCAGAAAATGGGTGATTATGGCTTTAAGAGTACTGTAGAAGCATTCAGTTAAATGACGCATCATTGAAACTTGTATAGTTTAGACAGATGGTGGGGCTGAAATAAACATGTATTGCTGAGCACAAGTGAGTTTTAGATTGTGATCAGCAGTTTTGCTTCACAGGGGTGACTCTGCAAAGGTTTCTTTTTGTCCCATGCTGTGTCTCTTCTCTGAAAAAACATTTTAAATTAATTATGAGCCTCAATTTCTCTAGTGAAATCTTCCACTTCTTTTTAAAGAAGCCTCTTAGACATGAAACAATCACAGTCAATTAAAAATAACTTCATTGGAACAAAACTATTAATGTTTATTGTCTTGTATTTTACCCTTTTCCAAATTAATGTAAAAAACATTTCAACATTGGTGAATTTTGTATCAGATTTATATGTTTATATGGGTAACAGTTTTCTACTGTCTTGTCTGATAGGAAAACTACTTTTTACTCTGCCCACTTACTGTATATCATTTGGTTTGAACAAAAACTAAATATGAAACAATAAGGAAAATGGTATAATCTGGATAAATTAATCTTCTTTTGGCCTAGACATTATATGTGTGTGTGTATGTATACCTTCATACTCTATATATACATACTTATATATTTATAACATTATTTGACAATAAAGGAATGGATGATTGTACTATCCACAAAATAAATGAACACATGAGCTAGATGGACTGAGTGGCCTCCTTTTGCTTGTAACTTTTTTTTTGTTTGTTCTTATTACTCAGTGGGCTCTCTGTGCTTCTGTAATTAACTAGGATATACAATGACACATTGGTGACAAAGGATGCAGGAAAACTTT